AAGTAACTCTATAAAAACGTGCATTACGTCTAAATTAACTCATATAAATCAAATATAATTTCGTAAATTGCATAAACAATTATGAACAAAACAGCATCATGTATTTATGCGTTGCTTAATCCAAAGAGCCGAGTCGCCATTCACGTAGATTGCATTTGAAAACATAAGAGACGCAGTGAAAAGGAATAAACCTCCACAAATTCACGACGTTTTTTCTAAAAGTTTAAATTGTTTTAACTTTGCATGGCTACATCTCTTGTGTGAGACGTGAGTGCAGCAGTCTGTCTTGTCTAAAAAGTGCGCTGAATATGCATCTGTGTGAATGGGTTGGTTTCGGTTTTCAACTAGTCATGATCTTCTCCGCATTGAGCTTCTATATTTCTCTAATATTTTTAATGCATAACACAGCAGCGGCGCATCTCGTGGGATTTTAGACTTGCAGTATATATACTGTATTTTTTTAAAGCAGTCTTGCCAGTACAATGGCAAAGACTCTTTATCTTAGAAAGAGAAAATAAAATAATAATAAAATAAATAATTTGTATTTAATGTTTTTTTATTTATTTATGCAATTTAGTAGTGTGAAAGTATTTTTAATAGTGGTCCTCACAATGTTTTACTTGAGCCAATTGTGTTTTTCCATCAATAATTGAAATCATTTAAACCAATTATTTAATGAAGACGTGGTACAGAAGAAAAATGTTATGCTTTGAAAGTTGTTCTTATTGATGATTGAAAATTATTTACACAATGCATATAGTAAACGCTGATTTTTGACATACTGTATACTGTACATTCATTTTGACCTATTCTTACAGTATATAAATAGTGATACCTTATGTTGATATCTCTTTTACAGTCTTTCATGAGTACTACCATGCTCCCACTTTGGCCAATGGGAGTGCGGCGGAGCTGAATCGCATCAGTGGAAGTTTACATTTAGGGGAACTGAACCTGACAGAAACCGGGCCCGTGACTCTCCCAGAATCCTTCATTCTGTGCACGCGGGCACGGCCTCTTCTCTTTCTGCTCCTCATGCTGGGCACACTGTGGGTGGGATACACACTGTACCAGTTCAGGAGGAGGTGAGGAGCTCTCCCTGTCTCACACACACACACACACACACACACACTGATGGGGATTTGAAAGAGTGATAGAAGACTGTTTTGACACCCCCATCTTTCATTTTTCCTGGCAGTCCGTTTCTGCATGTGAAGATGAGAGAGATTCTGTCCGACTGTGCTCTGCCTATCTCAGTGCTTGTCTTCTCTTATGTGGGATCATACGTCTTCAACGACATTGCCTGTGAGTCACTATATGTGTTCATGTTGCACACACAGAGACACTAACATATACATGTGCAAACATTACAGCTCTTCAATACAGTTTTCCATTTGATGATTGGTCATTTATATCCAAAACATTTGACAAGTACAATATGTGTCACTCAAAAAAAATTTGTTTTAACCTTCTTAAATTTTCCAGAAACTATGTTGAACCTTTTCTGGCATTAGTTAGTTTTATTTATTATTATTATTATTTATATTTATTATATCATATTATTTATATTATTTCTCATTGTACTAATATTTATGATTAGTGTTTTGTTTGTAGTGTTATTTTTTTATATTAGTTATATTAGATTATATTAGATATTTTTTATCATTATTACTTATTAATGTTGTTTTCTTTGCTATTGTTATTTTTTTTATTTGACATGAAACATTCTTTATCATTTACATTAGGTTATTTTTGTATTCATTATATTATTTCACTTCGTATTAGTCATTCAGTATTAAAGTTTTTTTTGTTTTAATCATAATAGTATTTAAAACAAGGTGAAAAATGTGAGTACATTTATGGTATAATTTAAGCAGAGAAAAATCAAAACACTCATAATGATAAAACTGTTTTACTATGCAAATTTTTTAATCATATTGGGGGATTATCTTCAATATGTCACAATGCTGCAATTTTGAAATTACATGCAAATAGCAGAAAAGATTCCGTACTGAGAATCAGTTCAATTTTGGCTCAGTTTGTGTCCAGGAAGGCTTGCCAAAATGTACACCCCTACCAACACTTAGACATTCTCACACACACACACACTGCCTGTACTCTCCTTCTCTGACTGCCAGCACATTACAGCAAAGCCACTCACTCCGACTATCACTACATTATTCCTCCAACTCCTCTGTCATCAGTTCGGTGTGGGAGTTTAACTTGGTTATCAGAGTGAGATTTTACTTCTTACCTCAGGCTCTTTAAACGTTCACTCAGCTCTCCAATGCTGCAGTCAAGAGGCTCATATTCGAAATGAGATCAAATCACAACCTCTCAAAAAAGGCCTGCTTTTGCAGGAAATGGCCAAACAGTCCAAAACTTTGCTGTAGTGTTGTGTGCTATGTATAGTCCCCAAATTTATTTGTATTTTATTTCATATCCTGCCCAGTGTTTTCTTCCAAATAATGTGTAAATTCAGGGCCACTTCACACTTTATGTGGGAAAAAAATAAACATTGGGTAGCATTTTTGTAATTAACTTGCTGTATAAGAAGTTAATAGATAGCAAATGATATGCAGGTACACTCACATACCTTCCTATGAACATATTAATGTGTAACTAATCACCTTTTCCTGTAGATGTAAGTATAAGTATGTAAGTACTCTTTATAATTGTGCTACGGTTATTTTTTCTATAAAAATATAAGTTGTGATAAATGTAGGATTTCAATTAAATGTGTTCATTTTTAGACCTAAACCAACCGTTCTACAACAAATGTGCTTCCTTACTGGCTAACTGCTAAGACAAACTGCACAAGGGTTGTGCCCTTTTTTCCCCAATAGAAATCCCTTTTCAATATTATAAAGTGACATGATGGTGATTGCAAGAAATAATCCATGAGGAAAATCATTGATGACTGTTGGATGACTGCTGGAGGGCAGGTTTGTGATCTGAGGTTCACTCTGTTATTTGTTCTCTTCCAGTGCCAGTGTTTAACTTCCATGAAGGTCCGGTGTTTCAAATAGCCCCACTGGATAAGCTGAGCGGAGCGAGTGTTCTGAGCGCAATGGGTCTGGGCTTCCTCCTGTTTCTCCTCATCTTCATCGACCAGAACATCGTAGTTTCTCTCACAAATGCGCCTGAAAACAGGTAAATTTTTTTTTAAATTAGTTTCAGCTAAACTTGTGTTTTGAGATCCTATCCCACTCATACATGTGGCTTCATTACAGAAAACTACAGATTATTAAAATGATTAATGATAAAATGAACTTCACCTAAACATTAACCTAACCAGGCACAATGTAATAAGTGACAAGCTGCCTATTTCATGTTGAAGAGTGTTTTCACTGGCTGTGATTTATAGCATCCTACACTCATTTATTTTCAAAGAGCAACAAATGAGCAACACAACATTACCATAATGAGGGCTAAGCAAGTTAGCAAAGGAAAAACTTAAAACGGAAGGGAAGTGTTTCATTTGACCCCCTAATTTGATAATATAATGTGATGTGTCATTTAAAATAATATTAATGAACATATTTTCATGATTAAAACTGTAAGCAATTTATTTATTTGGAATTTCTAATAGGGCACTGAACACAGTACTCATAAATAATTGTCTCAGCTAGAGGAATCACTTTGGGGTCCAAGATGCACACACTACTATAATGTTTTTACACAAATATTGTGAAATATTATTGCAGTTTAAAATAACAGTTTTCTTTTTTAATACATTTTCTACAGTTACACATGAAATCATTCTAATCTGCTGATTTGATGCTCACAAAAAAATAAATAAATAAAAATCAGCATACTTTGATGTAGAGGTCTGCATTCCTGCGGCTCTCCCGCGGGACCCGACCGATTTTTTGCGCCGCGGGATTCAATTCCCGAATAAAACGTGGTAGCGGTCGGTAACTCTGGTGTAATTTGAACGGGAGCGGGCAGTCTAACAATATCCCGTTCCCGACGTCCATTTAGAACAGCATATCTGCGCTTTATTCTTATTGACCACCGGTACAGCTTACGCTCAGGACTGTTATGCACGCGCTGCACGCATGGTTTAAACGTCACGCGTTTTATTTGCGGAGGTCTGTGTGCAGCATGTGCATAACGATGCCCAGAGCAGGCTGTAGCCTACCTGTGGTAAATACAGGTGCATCTCAATAAATTAGAATGTCGTGGAAAAGTTCATTTATTTCAGTAATTCAGTAATTCAACTCAAATTGTGAAACTCGTGTGTTAAATAAATTCAATGCACACAGACTGAAGTAGTTTAAGTCTTTGGTTCTTTTAATTGTGATGATTTTGGCTCA